ATATGAGATGGTATTACACCACTGGTATAAACTATTTACAAATTTCAATATCAAATTTCAATGGCTTCATTATTTTCGAAGTAAGATGCACTTCAGTTACTTATACTAAGTTTGCCTCAACTATTCAAACCAATTTTTGCTTCCTATGCGACTAGGGATGAAGTAGTGTAATCGCGAAGAATTTCTAAAATAAGATATTACGTTTTTGGATATTTTAGGATATCTACACTACGAAGAACCATGTCAGTCATGTCCGTCGGTCTGTCTGCCTGTCCGCTAATAGTTGCTCTGTCTATAACTTAGAAAGCATCACTCGGATTTTGATCAAATTTTCACCCAAGGTGTGTCAACTGCCCAACTAACAATTATCACTGCTATTAGAGTTGCAAGAATGATTATACAGTATTCCTTAAACAGCATTGTACACTGTAAGAACATTGGCAAAACCCTCTTAGAACTGCTATACAAGCGGAATGGGCACACCTAATAGGACACTTCAGTCATTTAAGAGGTTGTATAAGGGCTGCAGGTAACAGTTATACAACAACAGTGTAAGCCCCTTGCAGCCGCTATAGGACATTTGCGTCAGTGCAAGATTCAGTTTTTGTCAACTATATAACTATTCTGTCACGTGATTCTACTTTATTGCAACCAAACTATTTCTTATGGTATAGACGAAGAAGAATATACAGGGTGTTTCAGTTTATTGTTGCATAACTTTAAGATTCGATAGAACTTTTAAAATTAATGCATGAAGTCTATATAAACATGGGCCCAAAAATGCGTGGCTTCCGAAATACAGGGTGTTTAAATTTATTTTCTAAAATAGTTTTTTTTTAAATATTTCGGATAATATTTGATGTACAACAGTGAAAATTGGTATACAAGGGTTTTTTGGTACGACAAAACGAACCATGGGCATAGTTTTACTGTAGCCGCTAGAGGGCGCTCTCTACTGTACCTGTAGTGTATTAAAATGACCGACAATTTTCTCTTAGTGCTATTTTTTGCTTTTTGAATAAAAGAAAAATGATTCTTCGCACTTTTCAACATAAAAAAGCTCTCTTGTGAATTTTCGTTATAGTTAGCCGTTTTTGAAATATTTCGATTTTTAAAGTTCAATGCATTTTTAATTATTTATGATAAAATAACGTTAAAAAGTCAGTGTCTCGATAATTTTTAGAAGGAAGCTGTGCCTGGAAATATTGTTGAAATTGAAAGCAGAATGAGGTTAAACGTCAATTAGTTGACAGTTAGTTTTGTTGTCTGTTGAAACCTGAAACGTTTTTTTGCAATTGTGAATGCACGAAATTTAGTTTCTTTTACCTGTTTTTTTTGTAAGTTTTATAAAAATGCCATTTTTATTCTCCAATCAAGAGTTAGCGGATATTCATTTTGTGTATGGCTTTGTAAATGGAAACGCAGCAGAAGCAGCCAGAGAATACGCACGAAGATTTCCAAACAGACGACATCCAACTCGCTCAGTATTTGTGAGAGTGCATCGCCAAATAATTGAGAATGGTTTTGGAAATCTCCAAAGGGATCAAAACATAAATGTTAAATATAATGAATAGAGATCCGACCACAAGTATTAGGAGAGTTTCTGGTGCCTTGGGAATTTCAGCAAGCCATGTTCACAGTGTTCTTAGAAATGACCATAGACGTCCTTACCATTTGCAACCTGTGCAAGGGCTACAGCCAGGGGACGGAGAACGAAGAATTATATTTTGTCAGGGGATTCTTGATAGAACTGATAATAATAGGGAGTTTTTAAGTAACGTTTTATGGATCGATGAGTCATGCTTCACTAGACGTGGAGTGGTAAATTTTCATAATCAACATATTTGGTCGCATGAAAATCCGCATGCAGTTCGAGAAAGAAATTTTCAGCATGAATTTAGTGTGAACGTGTGGATTGGTGTCTACCGTAATCGACTATTTGGACCCTACCTGCAAGGTTAAATGCTGCGACCTCCTTGGAATTTTTAAAGGCTGAACATGCAAATATGTGGGATGATGTTATGTTAGATTTAAGAAGATTGGCCTGGTTCCAGCTTGATGGTTGTCCAGCTCATTATTCGAGAATAGTTAGAAACTGGCTGGACTAAAATTATCCAGAAAGATGGATCGGCCGTGGAGGACCAGTCGCCTGGCCTCCACGATCCCCTGACCTAAATCCATTAGATTTCTTTGTGTGGGGATTTCTAAAAGAAAAAGTGTACCAGACTCCCGTAACCACAAGAGATATGCTAATAGACAGAATCAGGAATGCATATGATGAAATAAGGCCTTATTTGAATAATGCTATACCACGTTCGATCATTCGTAGATGTGAATTGTGTATTGAACAATTGGGTTTACATTTCGAGCAGCTACTATAGATTTTGTACGTTTGTCCTAACTATCCAATAGCATTTTAGTTGTAAATAATTAATTTAATTTGTTAAAAATAATATTGGAAAATTAAACAAATTAATATTCTGTTTTTTGTGTTTATTTGGAGTTAGGAATTATTGGTGTGTTTAAAAACACAATCTAAACGATCATCTTAATTACTTGTAATGCCCAAATCTAAAATTTAAAAAAATGTTATTTTCCCATAAATAATTAAAATTGCATCGAACCTTAAAAATCGAAATATCTCAAAAACGGCTAACTATAACGAAAATTCACAAGAGAGCTTTTTTATGTTGAAAAGTGCGAAGAATCAGTTTTTTTATTCAAAAAGCAAAAAATTGCACTAAGAATAATTTTTCGGTAATTTTAATACACTACAGGTACAGTAGAGAGCGTCCTCTAACGGCTACAGTAAAACTATGCCCATGGTTCGTTTTGTCGTACCAAGAAACCCTTGTATACCAATTTTCACTGTTATACATCAAATATTATTCGAAATATTTAAAAAAAACTATTTTAGAAAGTAAATTTAAACACCCTATATTTCGGAAGCCACGCATTTTTCGACCCATGTTTATATAGACTTTATGCATTAATTTTAAAAGTTCTATCGAATCTTAAAGTAATGCAACAATAAATTGAAACACCCTGTATAAGTAACACATTAGTCATCTTGTTTACTTACATATCGGCCATTGTGAATTTCATACACAGGTATATGATAAACTTCTACACTGTGATATATTGCTATTGAATTACTTGCGCAGCAAATTTTATTGTGATTATCGTGCAAATTAGTTAAGCAATTTCTACGGGCTTTGTATTTGATTCATATTTTGATAATGATCAAAAGTATGTCTAGATTTTTAAGATGGAAAACTGAACTTATCTGCGTTAAATCTTCCACAAGTCCTATATTTAGACACAATTACACTAATGTTTATCACTTTATATCTGTAATTTCGAAGTGAAACATAATTATTTAATATCAAATAGAGGAATAAATGTTTGCCCAATATGGCGGGTGGTTGTGTATAATCATGGCATCGTCCATGTTGTCTTTAGTTTATTAGAATATTTTGGTGTGGCCTGCAGGTGTTATACAACAATTTGACAAATGTCAGAAATGAAATACCGACAGAGTCGAATGATTTACCTAGAATTTGTACCAGATCTATATCTTCTGTTTGAACAGTTGATAAAACATTTTGAATCAATATGCATACTTTGTTTGTCTTAAAACATTGGTTTAACAAAAATATGACAGCAGAAAGTTAGGTTATGGTGAAGTTGTATACCAACATATTTAGCATATGTACAGCCTTTAACAGTTACTAAACAACAGTTGTTTAAGTGCTTCCGTTGGGAGCAATTTGTTGGGTAAAGTAGTAAATTGCACAGCAATACAAGAAGGCTCGGGTTTGTTTTATAAACGTTACCATGGATGCGACAACACAACCATTTTGACTAACGTGCAAATATGCCGTATAAAATAGTTGTATAAACGTTTATGCAACAGTTAAAAATTTGCCCCATAAGGTGTTGTATAACTATGCTACAAGAATATTTTAAACACCTCACTTTAGAGCAAATATGTTGCAGAAAGCAAATTTGCATTCCACACAACATTAAGCCAGCATTTTGATGTTCAGGCAACAACAATAGAGAGCTTTTATGGCTGAACGGTTCTTTTACCAAAAGCTTATACCACTACTTTGCTAGTTGGGTGGTGGCGAAGCTACAACCAAGGAATGAATAAACAAAAATCGCTTAAGCTTCGTCTTTTGACGTTTCAGAGGCTCCTTATTATTTTCAAGGAAATTTTTGTAGGTATTAAAAATTGAGGTTGTATAGATGGAGGAAGGTTACTTTCAATTTTTTTAGATTTGTATTCCTCTAAATCATTGATTTACAGCTAAATTTGTCATTAAAGCTTATAATGATAGATACATATTTTCAACATACATATACCTCCTTCAAGGGCTGACCGATGTTTGGCTGATGGTAACGAGTGCCAAGCATATATGCTCCTAGTTAACTTTTTTCTCAAAAGGCTAAGTCGTGAGAATATAATCCTTTATTAACTGATAAAAAAGTTGGATTGGAAGTGCATTCAATCTATCTGACACTATTTTTCTTAAAATGGAATGCTGTCTTAAGACGGACTATTAACGTAAATTTTAATGTTTCAAAACGGTCATTGGCTTGGGAAGTTTTTGCCCTTTTTCCTTTTCCCTTACTACTTCCGTTCCCAATTTTTATGCCACTGTTGCAGCCACGAAAACTTTTGTATGTATTGGTTATGGTACACGTACAAAATTTTAATCGATATCTTTATTTGAGTATTTATTTCTTTGTCTATTCCAAAATAAAAACTTCAGCATTTTGTATCCTGGTAAAAGGACATTTTAGCACATACTATTTAGATTGGAAATATTGTAAGTATTTGTCTTAATCACTCTTTAAGTGCCGTTCATGAGGTATTCAAGGAAAACTCGTTTCTACTCGTAGTAACATCCTGTATTTCAGTAGGTGAGCCCTCAACGATAGTCTTTGTGGGATCTTAAAGCATATTCTTTGGTTTAATCTACCTCCAAGAGATTGTTTAAATTGACATAGGTAGTGTTAGTTTGGAACACCCTGAATAATAAACCCATTTGTCTGTCATAGTCAGTTTTATGGTATGATTAAAATTCCAGTTGAGGATCCGAGAGTCTATTGTGCCATCTGCAAACGTTTAAATTGCAAGCAATATTTTGCACAGCCTTGGCCATTGGCAAGGGTGGCCTGGAAAAGGAGCTCATATTATTTATATTTCAGCCGGAGGAGGCTCTCAGGGTGCTAATCACGGTAGTAATCAAGGTGGTAACCCTCTATTTGATAGAAACAGTGACACAATACCGCAAGGAGACATGTCAGCAGTAATTCCAAGCGACCCAGTGTCTGCCCTAGGACAAGATGGAGTTAATCCTTCAGGTGCAGAAGGAGCCGGACATGATCAATCTGGACTTCCTGGTACAGGATTTGGGTCATCGCCTTCTTTACCAGGAGGAGGACAAAGCGACATAGGATCAGGTAAATTACACAGTATCTCTTACGAATTTCAGAATTACTTAAGCTGCCGGAGTGTAAAATGGTAATTAACATCCATTGCCCTTTGAGTTATCTTTATCCTTTATAAGATGCATCAATGCTAACTTGCTAAACCAGTTACAATAGGCAACGTAGGTTTTTACTTCCCACGCCCACTGGCAGGGAAGTATTGTAATCGCGAAAAATTTCTAAAATAAGATAATATGTTTTTTGTCACTCATTTCCGTCTGTCTGTCCTCTTATCTCATTACCGCCTATAACTTGACAAATGCAGCTCGGATTTCGATGAAATTTTCAAAAATGTTACTACTACGCCAAGGATACAAAAGTTTTGTAGTTTTTGAAAATAATTCCAGAGAAAAAGGCCTAAAACGGAAAAAATAAAAATCGCTAAATCTTTTTTGACGTATCTGAGGCAGAGAAAAAGGCCTGAAACGAAAAAAAAAATCGCTAAAACCTTTTTGACGTCTCTGAGGACCCTGATTTTTGAGGTGGGGAGGTTGTAAGGGGTTGGGAGTGTTTGTCTCACTTTTTTGATGCTGGTACGTTTATACTCTCAAAACATTGGTAATTCTACGAACCGATTAGACATATTTCAAACAACATAGATTTCTGAAGACTAAAAAACAAAAATATTCTCGGGACACGGATCGCGTACCTATCGGCCGCGGCTGCTGCTGGCGTCGTGCGCCGAACTGTGATGAAAGTTCTGCTATGGAACCACACGTATTTCTGCCGAGCAACATCATGGAGTTTTCTATGTTTTGGCCTCACTGCCACGCCCACGGTACCACGTCTGCCCGAGTTAGGTACCGGAGAGAGATGACGTTACCAGATGCAATACCGGTAGGGCAGGAAAAGGATGTCTATGGACTAATTGCATGAACCTGTTTGACTTTTCTCAGAAGTCTACATATTCCTTTATGTCATAATAGTCATAATAGATAATGTTTGTCGGGTTGTACAGTAAATAGTCTGGTCCAAAAATAGACTTCTGGGTATTTATGGTAGAGATGCTGATCTGTCAGTTACACAAAGCATATTGCCAAGACCTGTCAGGAGGGATGAAATAATATAGTATCTTCAGAGGTAGATATTCTAGCTCCGATTGAGAGCTGAATATAAATATCTAGGTATTTTATTATTTGTACGGGGATATATTCGACTACCATATCATTGGATTGATAAGACTTATTCTTAGAAGGTAGTTGCAGTTGGCAAATCCTTTTCGTTTGACCTCGTATAAAAAGAAGCGCGCAGCCTGCTGATCTATAATGTCGTGACTTCTGTGAGCCGCGATTTTAGATTAAGCCTTATGTAATATAAAGATTTCATAAGGAAACAAATAATGTAAGCCCCAAAGGTTTCTGCTATTCCTTTATAAAAAATGATTTTCTTCCTCAATACATGAAGCAGTTTTTACGCTAGACCAGATTTAGCTTTCAATTACAGTTTGATAATTGTTCATAAATATAATTTCAAAGCGAGACAGTCAATTGATACATAGAATAAATTACTTCAGTAGATAAATAACACTTTTTTTCAAGGTCTCCCACAACAACCAACAGCACAAAGACCACCAGGCGTCAACCCATCGTACAATGACAATAACAGTGATGATGACGACGGAGATGATCCAGCGCCATTCAACTTGTCACCTAAAAAAGGTAACTCTTTGTAGAAAAGATTTTAATATGGTTACACTTTTTGGTAGTCTAAATGGAATCATAGTTTTGATTTGGACATATATTTCTTCTTTGCAACTCTGTGGCGTAGTATTTTGGCTTAAGATACCGTTACGCACACTGCATCACTGTTAAGGCGATGTGTCTTTGAGTACAGTATGAACATGCATAGACCTACATAAAGTATTTCATACTAGACAACTATCAGAGATTAATTTCTAATTCTTCGGCTGCAGCTTCTGATTTTGGTATTTGGAAACAAGATGATCAATGCGCATTTCCTTAAAATTCTTTATCTATCTTCTCTTTAACATATTTCCAGGTGGTCCATCTTACAACATCTTCTTCCCGATTGAGTTAAGGCATCGAGCTCGTAGTGCCGCTAAGTCAAGTCGTAACTACAATGCTATAGCTAATTCCTTTGCAACCGGTAGAAAGGGCATCGCAAACAGTCACTCTTTAACTCATGGTGATGCAGCAACGCAACAGGCTTCAGCACAAGGACAAATCGAGCAGAAGCCGGAAGTCTGAAGGGAGTGGTCCTTATTGGAGTAGAATATGTTAGGTGTTTATGTATATAGCTTGTATATTATCGAAATTCAATAAAAATACAAATAACCATCACCATTTTTATTAATTTCATTGCTAAAGGAAAATATCCACCTTGTTACGGAGTCGCAATTTTAGATAACCCAACATCTCGGCATAAGCTTAGGTATAGAAATCAGGCTGTGCTTTGTTTATATCCTGAGGAGTCGGATACAACGGAAACTTTTGATTTATCAACCCTGAAGCTGAACTTGTCTATGACCAAATATGATATTCTCATGAATGTTTGGAAACGGTTTAATGCTATTCAAGTGTCATAGATTTTTAGATATGCCTATAGTTAGTTTCATTTAAAACGACTTCCAAGCAAAATATTCCATGTAAGCCTATGAATTGACTCAGGAATAAATCGGTTGATTCAGCTCAGACTTTAATTCAGTTCCAACACGTTCATGGTATTTCAGTGAGCAAAGATATCTGTTGATATCAACGAATCCAGACCAGGTAGAAGGATTTGCTTGTCTCCAAGTTATCATTGTCTGTAGTGAGGATCAAAGTTCTTAATACAAGTGCACTTGACATGAGTTAATTTTAGACAGCTCTGTCATTAATCTCATATTTTCAATGTTATGAAATGGTACTCCTTATATAATTTACAAATAGCAGCGTAAGGCTAATGACAGTAGATATTTCCACCGGTAAGTATTATTTATTATTGTGTTGATACGATGCTGTCACTTTGGTAGGCAATGATAGTCAAATGGGTCAAAAGCGTGCTCTAAATTTTGGCGAAAAGCACTGCAATGTAATCATGAGGCTTGGCATTTTCTAGTATATTGAATGGTCAATACAATATCCATATTATAAATAAGTTCCAGACATTTTGAATGCATTGTGGCCAAGAAAAAGTACTAACTAAATGTTATTTGATCTTTGTATACAACAACGCTAGATTTAAAAGCTGGGTGTCCTGAGGACACGCTTACTGAAAATATTCCACGTATAGCACAGTAGTACAAGACACTTTAGGAGAAACGGTACTCAATTTGGGAATATATAGAAAACGACCGGGACTATTTTTTCAAAACATGTTTTCCAATGTCTTGTTTTCAGTAAACATTTCTTCCTTTCCTATATCAGTTACTATTCATATATATATATAAAAAATGTATATATATATATATATATAAAGACTCTCAAAACGTTTATTCTTAGAAATGTTCCACATTTTCATGACAGATCATTGCATGAACAAAAAGGCTGATGTTAAGCAGCTTAGTGTCATTTATTCCTGTTGAATTGCGAAAAGCTAGAACGGCTACATATCCAAATCGAACCAACATCGTCCCAAAATTAGAATACATTTCCAGTTGCTATCCTGGTAATTGAAATTTCTCACTTACAATCTTTAATATAAACTCACATAACCCCTCTTTTCAAGTGTGTATCACTATCTCACATTCGTACACTCATATGAACTACACATTTTTCCAAAGCAAATTAATTCAGCATTTTAGTAAATTGGGTGGAGGTTTACCGAGCGTCCCTCGAATACTTCATACCCAAATTGGACAATGAGGTTTATAGTTCCACGTTCCGTCGCGTCAATCACTTGTCATTTGTCGACGCATTATCTTTCCGTGGTGTCCCCCCCTCCACGTGTAGCGGAAGTAGGAGGCTAGAGATTGCATTCCGGTTGTTTCCCTAAAATGTCTTCTCATGTCTAAAAATTTTTAATATGTTCGGGTGTATTGATATTTTTAACATGTAACGAAGGTATCTGTCGTTATCAACAAGCCCAATGTCTCCGTCCTTTTGTTTTTATATTTATAACAAGTTCTATCTTCTCTACGTTCGTTTTGAAACACCTTGTGGCTACAACCGCAACGACGAGTAAGTTGTTTGACAATTTAAATCTGTCCTGTATTCTTTGCTAGCATCACAATAATTGTGTTTTCAGAATCCTGATGAAGGCTCTATAGAGAATGCCGAAAGCTTGATTTTATCGTCAAAAGAGTCAACTTAACCCTAAAAAAATTTCCAATTTCCCAATTAACAATTATTTGTATTTTGTGCCCAACTGGTCGTTGTCTTTGGCAATGACTACTGCTCATATATATATATAGGGTGGCTCATCCATGTGTGGACGGAACATTACTCATAAACAAATACATTTTGGGAAAGTCTATTTATGGCATGTTTTTCATGACACTTGAGCGCACATTTCTAAAATATTGTCAATTATACAGGGTGTCCCAATTTTGATCTACGTATCACAGTCGTGATTTTTTAAATGGAATGCCTCAAATTTTATTGCATATTTGGATAAACCAATTCAAGGGAAGAAGATTTATATAACATACTATGGGGTTTTAGTAATTAGCTACTGAGATGTAAGGTGTTTTGTCCAGGAAAACCGTCCACTTCGGCAACCCCTCAATCCGCCATTTTTAAATTTGGAGTGCTGAACTTTGTATCAAAAAAAAACTTACACACCTCAGCTTTTATTTTATTTGTTACTTTTTCGAATTTTCATTTTTGCTCATACAGGGTGGTCATCACCTGTATATTTGTGCAAGTTTGGATTCAATTTTTTATTAGCTTTTTTTGGTACAAGATTTGATTCAGATAAAATCACTAGATTTTGAGTTATGAGCTTTTAATAGAACAACATACCAAAATTAACGAAAAAAATCACATCATCAATGGAAACAAAAGACAAACAGTGGCCTAGTTCCATATTGCCACTAAGAATACAGATTTGACTTAAAAACTAATAACAACCAGAACAGTATAAATCAGCTTCAAGCGTAATAGAGAAAAACAACTATAACAACAACATAAACAAACAACTATCACTACTCAAGACCTAATCTACAAAAACTGCTAGACAATATCTCCACAATCTTGAATACACGGCCGTGTATTCAACATAGTGTAGTATCAGAAAGCATCCTTATATATCTATAAACCTCTTGCTTGACGTACCTCCATAGAAAGAAGTCCATCGGTGTCATATCTGGTGATCTAGGAGGCCAAGATATAGGCCCATCCCGACCGATCCAACGATTGTTACTCTAGATGTCCATATAGTTACGCATATGATTATGATAATGCGCAGGTGCGCCGTCATGTTGAAAGTACATATGCATCCGAGTTTGCAGGTTGACATCCTCTAAAAGCAAAGGGAAATGCTCGATCAAAAAATTCAAGTATTCTGTACCTGTTAATCTGTAGAAAAAGAAAGGCCCAATAACTTGTCTGCCAATAACTCCTCCCCAAGCTCCATTTATTTTGTAAATTTATTTGCCTAACCCAGTAAGGGTTTTCCGTCGCATAATAGTGCATGTTATGCCTGTTGACAATACGTATGCTGTTAAAAGTTGCCTCATCACTAAAAAGAACCTTATCCAGAAAAGTAGTATCTTCACTCACTTTATTTAGCATTATTTTACTAAACTCCATTCGAGCTGCGAAATCCTGAGGACGAAGGCCTTGATGCAAGCATTGATGATATGGATGGTACCTATGCTTGTGAATAAGAAGTTCTGCATATTATACCAGTTTCTGTTCCAATTTGCCGTGCACTTAAATGGGGATGTTCCTGCAACTTTAATAGAACCTCCAACTGATTCACCTCATTGGTGACACTTGGATTATACATTTTTTACTTTATTCCACTGCTCCAATTGATTCAAAACGCTCTCGTAGTGTGGAAAATGTTGTCGGCCTTGGATGTCGCATATTAAGGTACCGTTGCTTATAAATGCGAGATACTAGGAAACTATTTCTTTGGGATTCGCCCAAAACGAACAGCTTTTTCACCATTTCTTCTTTAGAAACATTCATTTTCAAACATGTTTTTATTATAATGCTCACAAAGCTAATTTTGACAGTTTGTAACTAATCAATAATTTATTTGTTTCCAAAAATTAAAATTCGAAAAAGTAACAAATAAGATAAGAGGGGTTGCCGAAGTCGGTGGTTTTTCTAGACAAAACACCTTATATATCAGTAGCTAATTACCAAAACCCCATACTATATTATATCAATTTCCTTTTTTTTGAATTGGTCTATGCAGATATGCAATAAAATTTGAGGCATTCCATTTAAAAAATCACAACTTGATATGTAGGTCCAAATTGGGACACCCTGCATAATGGCCAATATTTTAGAAATGTGCCCTTAAACGTGATGTATAATATCCCATAAATAGATTTTCCCAGAATGTATTCGTTCATGAGTAATATGCCGTCCACACATGGAGGGGCCACCTGTATATCCATATATATGTTGCTGAAGTGTCATGGTATCTGGGTACTCCAGGGTTCTGTCTCGGATCATTATTACTTGATTTACATATTTACAAATTGCACACTTTGCTAAACGTTGTAGTATTCAAATTTTTGCTGATAACTCTCAAATTTATAGCCACTTCCATAGTAGCAATACTCAAATCGCTGAACGTGGAACCAATGAAGACATAAAATCGATTAATGAATATGCAAAAATCATAACCTCGAACTAAATCCTTCAAAATAAGAAATAATTATTTCTACGTCTAAACATTTAAAATATCATCTTAAAACAAATTTAATGCTAGTTTAGGTGGTGCTACTATCGAAGTTAGTGAACCAGTGATAAAGTTCTTTCTGATGAGTATCTCAGGTTCATATCCCATCTATACAAGGTTACTAAAAAATGCTTTCAGATCTTACGTTAGTTATATCTCAATAAGCAAATTCTAAAAGAATTGTATGCAAATCAGTAATTAGGTTCAGTATTACTTACTGTGATGTAGTTTATAATCAATGTTTAGATACAATATCTCTTTCACATGTGCCAAAAATATAAAATTCATATTGCAGACTAATAAACAATTCGAGAAAATATGACCACATAAGCGATTCTTTGAGTGAGTTGGGATGATTGAAGGTGAGAGAGCTATATAAGTTACACCTATAAAAAAAGCTTGTTACCTCAAACTTCTTTTCACTCAAGAGACATACGGTTTACTGAGACACTCAACAACGCCTCTTCACAAAACTGCATTCTTTCGTAAGTGCTTCACAAAC